TGGCTCACTGAGGCCGTACTCTGTGAGGGGATGGCTGCGCAGGCTGCATTCACTTAGGGCAGGAGATGGTGGCCTCTCCCACACCATTGGTAAGCTAGGATATGTAGTAGCTTGTGGTGTTGCGTTCCACTGGCTCACCTTATCGACTACTGCTGCAGGGGGATGACAGGGTGGGTGTCTGAGTGCTTGAAGTAGCTGGCCATCATGAGAAACAGACCCGGTCTGCAAGCTGAGTGACTGCAGCTGCTGTGCACTGGCACCTAAGTCTCCATCCGGATGAGCAGCAGTATAAGGCATGAGGGACTGAGGGAGGCTGACCTGGTAGCCCTGGAGATAAGCTGGTAGCTGCCGTGGCCGTCCTGTCGCTTCACTTGCGATAGTTGATGTTCTCGTTGTGTCCATTTTGCTGATATGGGTGAAGCAATCCGGCTCGAAGGACCAGTGTTGGTGAGAGCTATGACTGTATGTTGCTCTAGGGGGATTCGCTGGAACACCTCATCCACACAGACACTCCGATTAGAGAGCGAGGCCGGACACAGTAGGACTGTTAACTCTGCTTTACTGATGAAGCACAACTCCAAATGAAATACAGCTCTGTGTTCCTGGTTTGCTGTTTACAGTTTGATTCATTAGAATTTATCTCTATTATCTGTTCTGTCTGAGACTTCACATTGGACTGATTGACTCTGTTTCTGTACTGGTATCAAATCAGCCAGCACGTTAAACATCACATAAACACTGCTACGTTAGTAACGTTATGTTACATTAGCGGCGAAATTCACCGTTTCATTTGCATATCAACGGAACTAATTAGCAATCATTAGCAGATCGTTGCCACCCACCTTCATCACAAACGCAGACAGGTATTGACGTAAAATAAACAAGAATGCCGTGAACGGCTGAATATTATAAGGACCCCCTTAGCTGCCTAACGAGGTGACTGATGCAAAACACTAAATTCAGCACTGAACAAATCCTGCACCACAAACAGTAATAATAGGGAATTTACAACAAATATGATATAATATCATCAGGTCGGCCTACCTGATATGTATGTACATATGTATGCAATAATTTCACCAGCAGTAATATGCACAATATTACCAAACCGAATATAAACAATAATGAATATCACTATATGTCTCTTAGACTTAATGGTCATACACAGAAGAAGTAATCAAATGACATTACATTACATTTCTCTCCACCTTTACACTAGTACTGCATTCCAAAAACACATTACATGGGATTTTCAGACATATTAACATTGTGTTAAGCTACTGTTAACACTGACATAAGACTTCATGTTATTTATGACTTTTGTTAAATCCTCCCACTGACGAAATAGCAGGATGGTATTATTGTGAAAAACCTACAGGTAGGGATGGGGATCGTTCATTTTTATTGATATTGATACCCTTATTGTGACTGTTTAACGATCCAATTCTTTATCGATACCACTATCGGTGCTTTACTATTATTTGGTAACGGTTATTTGGTAAGAGCAGACCCAACGGGCATGAGGTAGGCCTGCACGGTATGAGGAAAATATTCAATGTGCGATAACATTGTTACATATTGAGATGACATGTGACTTGCGATAAATCAAAATAAATATACTGAAGTGTGCATAGCTGCTTGGCTGTTTTTAAAATCATTATAGGATGAGAATTTAATGTTTTAAATACAGCTAAATGTTCTTTCTATATCAGCAACATTAACGTTTACAAGAACAAAGTCACTATATATAACTCATAACATCAGTCTGTATCAGTCTCTCCTCTTCCTCCTCTTCCTCCTCTCTGCTGTTATTCACTGCCTGCAGGTAACGTTACCTGGTCAAAGGACGAGCGGCTGGTTTGTCTCGGCCAGCAGCTGAGTTTTTAACAATGTGCCAAATTTTAAGACTTACAACCAGTCTATGCTACAGACAGGCAGCTTTCTATTTAGCTTGTTTTTAACATTTGGCTAATTGCCATGCTAATGTTAGCTGTGCTTGTATATAACATACAGGACGACAGATTGAAGACAGAGCAGTTTAAATGAACCCTTTCTATATGTTTACCTTACACACAGGTGTATTGATGAAGTATTGTGTTTTTACTCGCAAAGGTTTTATTGCACGTACTGACAGTAACGAGCGTAGCTGTCAGCCTTTCGCTGTGTGTGTGTGTATGTAGGAACAGAGAGCAGCAGAGGCTGCAGCCTGATGATAAACAGTCCCAGGCCCGTTTAATAAATAACATTAGTTTTCTTATCCATCAATTTAAACCAGATTTGACACTCTTTGGTTTTGAGAATATTTTGGACCGGGTCCTTTAAAACCAGATCTCAATACCCATCCCTACCTACAGGTATTCTAGTTAGCAAAGCCTCAATACCAGTACAGGTAACAATACTTGCCTCTTTGTATTGTAGCTTAACAATAAAACACTTAACAATACTAGTAACACGCAATAAATTAATGAACAAGTTTGAACTAATGAGGGGAGCAGAGGGCCATAAACTGGTGTGCTTGAAACTATATAATATAATGAGTGGAAGGATCACATGGCAAGCACCTTAACTCCGAATTCTTATCTATAATGGCTAACAGAAGCTATCTATAGTTGCATTAACCCAATGAAATACAGTATCAAAAGTAACGCAGTGGATTAAATATTCACTCTTTTTTATTCACACACAGATTACTTGTAGTGGAATGTATTGCACTGCACAACCGTAGTCCATCACTTGAACAACCCACTAAAGCACACTGCTTTTAACTGCGGGATATCAGTTCTATTACACCACCAGCACATGTGTTGACTCCTCTGATACAAGTACCAGCACTGAATAAACATATACCAAACAAAACATAGAAGCACCATGTGGGCAACAGAATGTAATAACACTAAGTTGGTCTCATTCCTCAAACACTGTTGATTTACTTTCCTTCCTTAACCTGTTAGGCTTTGGGCTTCCATTCTATGTTATTTAGACCTGGTTTGGACCTACAATGTATAATCTGGTGTCTGGTGTTTTTTAGCCCCATTTTTAGTAAAGGTATGCAGTGTACAGCTGTGGTCTGGTCTAATATCCATTTTCTTTTTATCTCAGACATTGTACAATGTTCTCTCTCAGTCCAACATTCTCTAATTTCATGTTTACACTGACTTTTTGCAAGCAAACCAAGAGTAGTAATAATCTTGTTATATTGTAGCCTTAGTTCCAGACATCCATTCAGCTTTTAAACCACAAATTTAATGTATGAGAATGCTCCTGAAAATGGACCAAGACCTTCCTTTTAAAGCCGTTGTTGGTTCATGCCACAGTTTGAATAAACCAAAATAGACTGGGAAAACACATCAGTGACCGTTTGAATTGAGCCAAACAGATTAAAGATATAATAAGAGTCACTTCAATTCCTACAGTTGTAAGTGAGAACAGCTAGGGTTCAGGGTTGTAAACAGTCGTAGTTATCACTGCTCTCCACCTGGAGTGTCGGCCAGAACACTACTTAAGTCCAGGAGGTACTTCTGTAGTATCAGGACAGACATTGACTTCTTAGAGGAAATGAGAGTCGAGATGGAAGGATGGTTCAACGTTATTGTATTCAGGACATAAAGGTGTGTGGGTGTGGGTGTTCTGTAGTAAAAAAATAAATTAAAACAATGAGAGCAATACTATTTTGCACATATACTGTACACCATACAACACTCTTATCATTATCTGAACAGGAATATGCAAGAATATACTGTCTAATGTATAACTAAAATGAAAGTGAAACTAAAATTAAATCCCACACCTTTAGTAACAGCATGTAGTGATCCATTTAACAGTAGCCACACAGCTCTTTAACACAGACATTCCTGTAAACATGTCCAACATGAAGTATGTCTGTTAACCAAATTGAAAAGTTTCTTAGGTCAATTTAATCCAAACAATATACACAATCATAGAACTAGGGTTACGTTGAGTAATTACCACTCGGCTTTCCCGCGATCATTTAACTCTGTAACAGCATTTAACTGCTATAAAACGTAATACACTCAAAGTTCATTTACACTTCCTTCTGTCATCGATGCACACCTCTTAAAGCCGTTATATTATGCACAATACAGTCCTCTCACCCGTAGTTCTGCATTTAGCACTGTCATCGGCTGATTTTACTACATTTATTCATTTAACGGACGCTTTTATCCAAAGCGACTTACAATCAGAGGTCAGAGGTCGCAACAAGGGTTAAGTGTCTTGTTCACACAATGGTGGATGGGTCACAGTGGGGGATTGAACCTGGGTCTCTCACACCACACGTATCCATTGCGCCATCATCCCACCCTGCGCCAGTTACCCAACCTGATTGCTCTCTCACTTTCTCAACTGAAATACTGGATATTACACAATAAAAGAGAACATTTAGAGTCTTTTGTACAACACGACTGTGCACAACAACAGATCAACATGCAGACTAATTTTGTAAAGATACAAATAATGAAAAGGCCAATGGAAAACTTTTTTTGTATTACCAGATGTTCTTACTGTTCAGGTAATTACATTGCTGACAATGTTCACATCAGTAGTTAGCAAAAAGAGCAACACTGATGGCTGCACCACGGTGCGTCACGTCAGGCTGTTCTGAGTTCTGTTTATGCAGAAAACGGGTGTTATGAGGGAACTACAGGCTGCTTAAGCTCAAAGAAGAGGAGAATGTTCAGCTCAAAAATGTCTTGTGTGTCAAACAAGTGGAAAACAACACAATATATGCATGTTCTTTAAGTACAAAAGGAACAGCCATACCAACTTCTATAAACAACAGCTGTGCCTGTTTACTTACATGTAGCCCAGATCAGTACATTTCTAACTTTCATTTGACATTCAGTTTGGTGTGAAATTGCAAATTAGCTTTGGTTTTATCGAGTATTGTCTGGTTTTCGCTTCAGCTGGAAGAACCTTTGTTTTGTGTTTGTCTCTGTGTGGACAGACATAATGTGAGCTAACTCTTCATGATTCCTCCACAGAGTCCACCAGCAGAGCTCAGAGGTTCCCAGAGGTCAGTCTGCCCAGCAGCATCAAACACACCTGGACTCCATATTTATGGTCTGTACATGTACAACAACTACTTTTACATCTATTCTGTTCTCAATAATCTCCACGCTGCACTTTTTGGTTGAATTGATTGCCAGTCTGTAACAACATGGATCTGATGTTTTGTTCCATGATTTTGACTTCCAGCTTCTGGAGGAGAACATTGTCACTTTTGTCAAGAATGAAATAAAGAAGATCCAGAATGTCCTGAGTTTAGATTACCCAGAATGCTTAGAGAGTCAGAGGGAGGATGAAGAGGTGTTGGAGGGTGAGGATGAAGAGCAGAGGAGGAACAGTAGAGAAGCATTTCTGAAGATCACACTGCACTTCCTGAGGAGAATGAAGCAGGATGAGCTGGCTGAGCGTCTGCAGAGCAGTAAGAGGATTTCTCTAAAGATTTAACCTGCTGGATAACCGGGACATTTACTGATGACATTTACTGATATATATATATATATATATATATATATATATATAATTCATTAGAAAAATGAAATTGTCATATTTGCTTTGTAACTCAGGTAATGATCTTCTTTGTTTGTTTAGACACGTTTGCTCCAGTTTGTTTCCAGCATAAACTAAAATCCAACCTGAAGAAGAAGTTCCAGTGTGTGTTTGAGGGCATTGCTAAAGCAGGAAACCAGACTCCTCTGAACCAGATCTACACAGAGCTCTACATCACAGAGGGAGGGACTGCAGAGGTCAATGATGAACATGAGGTCAGACAGATTGAAACAGCATCCAGGAAACCAGCCAGACCAGAAACAACCATCAGACAAGAAGACATCTTTAAAGCCTCACCTGGAAGAGATGAACCAATCAGAACAGTGATGACAAAGGGAGTGGCTGGCATTGGGAAAACAGTCTTAACACAGAAGTTCACTCTGGACTGGGCTGAAGACAAAGCCAACCAGGACATACATTTCACATTTCCATTCACTTTCAGAGAGCTGAATGTGCTGAAAGAGAAAAAGTACAGCTTGGTGGAACTTGTTCATCACTTCTTTGTTGACATCAAGGTAGCAAGAATCTGCAGGTTTGAAGAGTTCCAGATTGTGTTCATCTTTGACGGTCTGGATGAGTGTCGACTTCCTCTGGACTTCCACAACAATGAGGTCCTGACTGATGTTACAGAGTCCACCTCAGTGGATGTGCTGCTGACAAACCTCATCAGGGGGAACCTGCTTCCCTCTGCTCGCCTCTGGATAACCACACGACCTGCAGCAGCCAATCAGATCCCTCCTGAGTGTGTTGACATGATGACAGAGATCAGAGGGTTCACTGACCTACAGAAGGAGGAGTACTTCAGGAAGAGGTTCAGAGATGAGGAGCAGGCCAGCAGAATCATCTCCCACATCAAGACATCACGAAGCCTCCACATCATGTGCCACATCCCAGTCTTCTGCTGGATCACTGCTACAGTTCTGGAGGAGGTGTTGAAGACCAGAGAGGGAGGAGAGCTGCCCAAGACCCTGACTGAGATGTACATCCACTTCCTGGTGGTTCAGACAAAAGTGAAGAACGTCAAGTATGATGGAGGCTCTGAGACAGATCCACACTGGAGTCCAGAGAGCAGGAAGATGATTGAGTCTCTGGGAAAACTGGCTTTTGAGCAACTGCAGAAAGGAAACCTGATCTTCTATGAATCAGACCTGACAGAGTGTGGCATCGATATCAGAGCAGCCTCAGTGTACTCAGGAGTGTTCACACAGATCTTTAAAGAGGAGAGAGGGCTGTACCAGGACAAGGTGTTCTGCTTCGTCCATCTGAGCGTTCAGGAGTTTCTGGCTGCTCTTCATGTCCATCTGACCTTCATCAACTCTGGTGTCAACCTGCTGGCAGAAGAACAATCAACCTCCCAGAAGTCTGAAACAAGGAAAGATGAATCTGCTGTGACACAGTTCTACCAGAGTGCTGTGGACAAGGCCTTACAGAGTCCAAATGGACACCTGGACTTGTTCCTCCGCTTCCTCCTGGGACTTTCCCTGCAGACCAATCAGACTCTCCTACAAGGTCTGCTGACACAGACAGGGAGTAGCTCAAAAAACAATCAGGAAACAGTCGAGTACATCAAGAAGAAAATCGAAGAGACTCCCTCTGCAGAGAAAAGCATCAATCTGTTCCACTGTCTGAATGAACTGAAGGATCGTTCTCTAGTGGAGCAGATCCAACAGTCCCTGAGTTCAGGAAGTCTCTCCACAGATGAACTCTCTCCTGCTCAGTGGTCAGCTCTGGTCTTCATCTTACTGTCATCAGAAAAAGATCTGGACGTGTTTGACCTGAAGAAATACTCTGCTTCGGAGAAGACTTTTCTGAGACTGCTGCCAGTGGTCAAAGCCTCCAAGAAAGCTCTGTAAGTGGGATTTACTCATCAATAAATACTCTGCTGTCTTTCAAGAGGAGAAAATAAAATACTGTCTTACTTGTTTCCTTACTGTTGTTTCTTCAGACTGAGTTGCTGTAACCTCTCAGAGAGAAGCTGTGAAGCTCTGTCCTCAGTTCTCAGCCTGGAGTCCTGTAGTCTGAGAGAGCTGGACTTGAGTAATAATAACCTGCATGATTCAGGATTGAAGCTGCTGTCAGCTGGACTGGAGAGTCCGCACTGTACGCTGAAAATGCTCAGGTCAGGATTCATTTTCCCTTTTAATGGTTCACCATTTAAATTTTTTCGTCTTCTTTCACTAGTCATATTTTTGATTAATGCGCTTTGCACATGTCTAGTACATGTCTTTATTCTCCCTTTTCGGCTAAAACGTCACTCTTCATTAACACATGTTAATGTTTGCTGTTGTAACTATTGAATGGATTTTTCATCCCCTCAGGATGAACTTTACTAACGTTGGTGATCCTCAGACTGCTGTCATCACTTTGGTTTATGTCCAGTACATCGCAAAATTTATGACAGTCACATCAGCCTCAGCTAGTAAATTAGTAACAAACTATACTAATGCTAAACATGAACAGGCTAGCATTGTCATTGTAAGCATGCTGATAATAAGCATTTAGCTAGTACAGCCTCAGAGCTGCTAACATGGCTGTAGACTATTTGGGCCCTATTTTCACAATTTAAGAGCACAGCGTGAAGGTCATGGCAGCTTTGAGTTTGGCTCGTATTGAACTTGAATTCTGCTAGTTTAACATCGGAAGAAATGTTCAGTGTACCTGGTGGTATTGATATTGATAGAAATATTGATGATATTATATTATATTGGTGATAATATTGGTGATATTGATAGAAATGTATATGTAATATAAAAACTGTCTCTTATCATAAAGCCTAATGTTACTCTTCAGCTCTGTGGTTTATCAGTGAAGCAGACTGGACTCTGTTAACAGACATACAGTTGACGCTGTCTCCTCTATGACACATCTTGATCCTCACTGCGCTTCCATGTGTTTTTTTTTATTGTGAGTTTTATTGATGCATGAGTATTTTCTTTAATGATTTACTTTCATGATAAGAGAGGCTGCTGTCAGTTATTTTAAACATTTCCATGAACGCAGTGAAGTCGTAGCAAATATTGTGGGGCGTTTTAGCAGCAAAAGAATAAAACTGTAGTTATAAACTTTATATGAAAGGGCAGAGGACAGAAAATTCAACTTTTAGCTTCAGAAAAAATTTAGAAGCTCTGATGGAGCTCAGGATTGATCCGAACAGTTTCACTGTATGACCCTGGACTGTTTGTGAGACCTTAAATGTGTAGAAGAACACAGAACATGACAACACTCCCATGGACGCACAGGTTTGCGCAAGTGCATTAGCTGTTACATAACATTGGCACTGGGTGTGAAAATGTCAACTGTGTTGGTTGGAAACTAGCAATGCCACTTGCGCTGAGCTTTGCGTGGCTTTGTGCTGGGTGCAAGATATGTCCCTTTAACATTAAATCACAGTGACACGGTTACTGTTAACTCACTGATAAAGTAATTGTATTATTAGGGCCTCCAGCGTGCCTGTGGCGTGGCGTCCATTATCGACGATTCACCACAAAACAGGAAGTTGTTATAACTTCAGTGTACATGCTAACATCTGCACCAAATTTGATATGTATGATAAATGAACACATCCATATGCCAAACTCATAGTCATAGCGCTCCCGTGGCACGTTTTACCTACATGTAGGAAATTTCTGCGGCACATGTATCATGTCTAGATGCACAAAAAACTCTCTTGGAGCCATTGCCTAAAGCCAACAGGAAGTCGGCTATTTTGGATTTAATGGTCATTTTTGGTGATTTACAGGCTACTTACTTCAACAAACTCCTCCTAGAGAATTAGGTCGATCACCTTCCAATTTAGCTGAGCAGCCTAAACCCACTGACTATTAAAAGTTGTACAAACAGTGAGTTCTTTCATCAAACGTTGTGCCTGTGGCACCTAAAATTGATGATTCGCCATGAAACAGGACATTTTTGTAACTGTTTGATAAGAGCTTTGAACACATCTACAAGTCATAGCACCACCTACTGGTAACAGAAGTGACTACTTCTATGCCGTGATGAACCACATCTTGCAGATTGACAATATGTACTTCAAAACTATGTCAAAAATCATTAACACATTGAGGATGTTATGTTGTAATGCTTGTGAGTTTTCCTTCAATGACGTATCTGTGGCATGGCTGCGAAGTTCCATGCTTCGCCATGACAGAGGAAGTCATCGTAACTTCGCTGCACATGCTCAAATCTGTACAAAACTTTATGAACTTGATAACGGTCCCGCCCCGAACACATCTACATGCCAATTCAGTTATAGTCGTAGCGCCACCTATTGACAACAGGAAGTAAGTTCTGTGTGATACTGAGGTGTCTGGGGTGTGGATGCGGCACTCCCCCACGCTTTACGTACAATGGCCCGTTTAATTTATACAATTATTTGGAGATTGTTTCCTCTTGTATCTGACTGACACAGCAGGATCCACAGATGATGTTTTGCGTTTTTGCAGGCTGTCAGGCTGTCTGATCACAGAGCGAGGCTGTGCTTCTTTGGCCTCAGCTCTGAGATCCAACCCCTCCCACCTGAGAGAGCTGGACCTGAGCTACAATCATCCAGAGGAATCAGGGGTGAAGCAGCTGTCTGTTGGACTGGAGGATCCACAATGGAAACTGGATATTCTCAGGTATAAAGACTGACAGTTAGTCTTACAGAGGAGGGCCTTTTGTTTGATGGTGGATATGAGTGTTATATGAACAATCAAAGGTGTAAGAAGGCTTTTTCCTTCTCTCAAAACAGAAACCCTGGTTGAACACGAAAAGACATATTTGTGTATATTTCACTAGGCGATTTCACTATAAACCGCGCTCACGGTTTTGGAACTGTAAAGATTCAGATGGACGACTGTTTCTGTTCTCAAAAAAGGGACATCATGGCATCCATAACCTCTGCACAGTGAAAACAATTAACAACTGGACTTGGTTGAAGATACTAGAAGACGTTACATCCCTCATCCAAAGGACTTCAGTTCTGACTGACTAGTAGGGAAACTAAGCAATTAACCTCAGTGGGGACGTTTGCCAGGATCGTCGATACCACTAGTTCATTAGTGTTCCTGGCTGTTGCAACAACAGTTGTCATGGTTGTTAGGACTACCCAACGCCAAGACTGAACGGCCATCGTTGGCATCCTCACCTGAGGCCAATAGGTTACGTTTGTTGAGTTTCCTGGGAAGTGATGAAAGGACAGCATTGTAAGTGGGGGATAAGTGGTGGCATAGACCCTCTCCCCTGTTCAATGACGGCTTCTCCACCCTGGTGTAGATGCTTCCTTGACACCTCTTTCAAACCATCCATCTTCTCTGTCTAAAATGTGCACCTGGTGGTCCTCAAACGAGTGTCCTCTGTCCTTCAGATGTAAGTAGACAGCAGAGTCTTGACCTGAGGAGTTGGCCCTTCTGTGTTGAGCCATGCGTTTGTGTAGTGGTTGTTTAGTCTCCCCAATATACAGGTCTGTGCATTCCTCACTGCATTGGACCGCATACACTAGATTGCTTTTCTTGTGTTTGGGTGTGCGGTCTTTGGGGTGGACCAGCATCTGTCTTAGTGTGTTCTTGGTTTTAAAAAACACAGGGATGTTGTGTTTGTTGAAAATCCTCCTGAGTTTCTCTGATACTCCAGACACGTATGGCATCACAATGTTGTTGTATTTGGCCTTCTTTTCCTCCCCTGTAGTTTTGTTCTTCTTGGATCTTGTGGCTGTTTTCACAAAGGTCCATTTAGGGTATCCACAGGCTGTAAGTGCCCCCTTCAGGTGGTTCTGTTCCTTCTCTCTGGCTTTGGCGCTTGTTGGTATGTTTTCCGCTCTGTGGTGCAGTGTTCTCATGACCCCCAGCTTGTGCTCCAGTGGGTGGTGGGAATCGAAGAGTAGGTATTGATCTGTTTGTGTGTGTGTTTTCTGTAAACACCAATTTGCAGGCTCTTGTCTTCCTCAATGTGTACAGCGCAGTCCAGGAAGGCCAAACTGTTGTTGTGGACATCTCCTCATGTGAACTTGATGTTACTGTCCACAGAGTTGATGTGTTCTGTGAAGGCTTTCCAAGACTTTGATTTTGACCCATGTGTCGTCCACATACCTGTACCAGTGGCTCGGTGCTGTTCCTCTGAAGGAGTTGAGGGCTTTGCTCTCCACTTCTTCCATGTAGATGTTCGCCACAATCGGGGATATTGGTGAACCCATGGCACAGCCATTCTGTCTGTAGAATCCTCAGTTGTGCTGGAAATAGGTGGTGTTTAGACAGAGGTCGAGTAATTTGCAGAACTGGTCAGGGCTGAGGCTAGTTCTGTTGTCCAGGGTGTTGTCTTGTGTTAGCCGTTTCCTTACGGTTTCTACTGCTTCTATGGTGGGGATGCAGGTGAACAATGAAGTCACATCATAGGATATCATGGTTTCATCTGGGTCCAGACTATAGATGAAAAATAGCCTTCGGGCTAATTCTGGCATATTTACATTGCTGAAAAGCTAAGATGTCCATTAATATGCACTGTCCCTTTTAAATAAAATAAAAAATAAAATTTGCTTGTGGTCTTGCTGACAGACCTGACAAAGCATGATAAATGTTTATTTTGGGAACAGAAGGGAAATACTACTGACATGGATGTTTACAGAGGTAACTTAGATTTCATTCCATTTCAGATGTATAGACTTTCTCTTATGTACTGCATTATTTGGTTACTGTATTATTTCTGTGTGAAAAGCAGCCACTGAAAGCCAACAAAGAAATGTTAATGTGAATATAATATATATATAATGCTAATATAAAACCTCTCATTTAAGAATGCTATACATCCTTAGTGTTGTAAAATAAATTAATGCATAATTATCAAAAAACTTTATTCTCACACTGTAAGCGTACCATCAAAATCTATAATCGTTGCATCTCTAGTCTCCAAGGAGAATATCTCCAGAAACAAAGATGATGATTGCCTGTCAATAATAACTGATGAAGTTTGGACAGATCTCTGCATGTTAACTTAGCTTTCTCTCATTCTGAGAAATATCCTTTTGCGCTCTTTGCTAGGAGTTAATCAGTTTCATTTCTGTACAGAAAAAGGTCCAGGACATGGTTAATCTAGCCTTGCACAAAGAACGGACGCAGGGGGAAACTTCTAGTCTAACCCCATCAAAAAAGAAAACATAAAGCTTTAAATAACTCCAAAGCAGTTATGTTTAGTTAAAACTATGCTTGAACCAGATGACTAAAGGACAAGATATTTGAGATGCTACATTCAAGTGTATTTCTCAAAATGTTGGACTGTTCCTTTATCAATGTAGAACAATTGTAGTGAAAAAAAGTCTTCACAGCGAACATGGATTGTAAATATTAGGAGCCAAGTCACTCTTCTAGTTCTTGGGAACTTCAGGGACTTTGACATTTAAAGATTTAAACACCAAAGAGTCATGACAACTTCTCTCAGATATTTGGTAATTTATTTTCAATATTTACATTTCCAATGAACAAAGACAAAATAAATTAGATATGACAAGGAGAACATATCTAATTATAAATTAGTGAAGCTGCATTGGTTTATTTAGTCAAGACACTGTAACAATGATTGTTAAAAATAACAGGTGGGAGCGAGGCGGTAATCAATGATTGAAGCAACTTAGAACATAAGTATTCAAATAAGGAAACGACTAGATGAAGGGATACTGCTACCTGTAGAGCTGAATGAGACTATTTCTGGTAAGAAGACTTTGGAGGAGCTCATGAACGTCAGTGGGGCTCTTAATGGAGACAGGATGGTCCAAAAAGAGGTTTGTATGTTCTTTCACACAAACCAACATCCTGTGGGTGGCTCTGTGTATGAGGAGAGTGACAGAGGTGAAGAGGTTTAGGGGGAGCAGAGAGAAGCAGGCTGGATGCACATGTTGTGTAATTATTTATGTGAGGAATGTAATGTCTATGTTTGTGTGATGAAAGTGGATGTGCTGGTCTGACCCCCCTCCTCCTTTTAGGATGGAGCCTCGCGGAGTCCGATGGCTGAGACCAGGTCTGAGGAAGTGTAAGTGTGTTTTTCATTTGATTCATGAAAACAAAGCAGCACATATTCAACCATCTTCAGACTGTGACATCACTCATTCAAAGCTCTGATGTCATCATCAAAGTGCCAATCTAGATAAATTAATAACTGCAGCTGTATTGTGTCTCGTTCTCTTCATCAGATTCCTGTCAACTCACAATCGACACAAACACAGTAAACAGAGAGATCAAACTGTCTGACAACAACAGGAAGGTGACATGTGTGAAGGAGGATCAGCCATATCCTGATCATCCAGACAGGTTTGACTGCTATAGGCAGCTGCTGTGTAGAGATGGTCTCACTGGTCGCTGTTACTGGGAGGTTGAAAGGAGAGGAACTGTTGAAATATCAGTGAGCTACAAAGGAATCAGCAGGAGAGGAAACAGAGAAGATTGTGTGTTTGGAATGAATGATCAGTCCTGGAGTCTGAGGTGTTCTGATGATGGTGGTTACTGTGTCTGGCACAATAACAGAGCCTCATCCATCTCCTCCTCCTCCTCCTCCTCTTCCTCCTCCTCCTCCTCCTCTTCCTCCTCCTCTGGTAAGGTAGCAGTGTATTTGGACTGTCCTGCTGGCACTGTGTCCTATTTCAGAGTCTTCTCTGACACACTGATCCACCTCCACACCTTCAACACCACATTTACTGAACCTCTTTATCCTGGCTTTGGGTTCAGGTTCTGGTCCAGTTCTGGTCCCTCTTCAGTGTCTCTCTGTTCTCTGGAGGAGGGGGAGTCTCCTTCTGTTAGAGAACAGATCAGTTGAGTCTTTACAGGATCACAGTTGCAGAAATGTTTCAAGTTATTGTAATAAATTCAATGAACTTTGGATGATGGAAATTCTGTCATGGTTAAAACTGTTTTTGGTTTTTTTTTTAAAGAAATGTTTCAACAAACTCAGGAGGACTTTGTAAGAAAAAGGGAAATATCTTCAAACATGTCTGAACAGAAAAATAAATAGCTAATAATTAATGAAAGATAATGACGGTGTGAAATAAAATAATAGTGTTTGATGTTGATTAAGGATTCACAACAATTAATATAAGTTTATGTTCACATCAATGTCTTATTCGGCATAAAAAGTAAATGTTACCTTTAGGTGTGTTATTTTTCTCATCTGAATCTGCAGAAGCAGCAGTAAGGCTGTCATTCTTGGACATACAATTCATATATTACTTAAATTAACGATCAATTACTTTTTGTGTCCCCTGGTTATCTTCAACCAAGTTGCCCTTGATTTTGACCTTACTTGGATTACTATGACCTGGATGACTGCAAATCTTCACACACACCACCTGGTTATTTTTTTCAGTAAATATTGTGTTTATTTTCAGTCTGTCACCGGATTATTTTTTAAAGTGTACCCCTTGGTTTTTCCTAATAATAATAATAAAAATTATATCTTATATTTTTATCACGCCTTTCAAGGCACCCAAGGATGCTTTACACATAACTACAGAGACACAATCAACAACAGACAACAAAAGGAGGTCATTCTAGATTATAAGAGGTGGGTTTTTTACATTAACATTCTCACTGCTGAACAGATGAGTTGAGTCTGTACAGGATCACAGTTACAGAAATCTTTCAGGTTATTGTAATAAATTCATCAAAGTGATTCAAAGTGATTGAACAGATTCCTCATTTCCATTGTAAACGTCTTCCATTTCCAGTCCTTTAAAGAAGGAAGCTCTGATAACTAAATGGTGGAAATGCCGTTGACTTGTACCTTCAGTCATGTGTTCTTTTGAATTCTGGCTCTTGTGCCATTAAAAGCAGAATGTTACTGTGAATGTGTGTGTTGTGTTTCTCAGCTCAGGACTACTGACATGATTCACCTGGAAGATACAGTATATGGCCAAAAGTTTGTGGACGCCCTCGTCCATGAAAGACCCAACACTTTTTGTATGAAGTGGAATGGACTGCGGCCACACCTTTATGAAACTGTGCAAATTGTTGAATTCCTGTGTTTTGCTGCTCAGTAAAACACTGTTGTACTGTTGTACAATACTAATGTATTGATCACTACTGCTGTCTAGTACATACTAAGTGACATAATAATTCTCACTACTGGACAGCAGCCAGTATGAAGCAGTGACATGGAGCAGTGTGTCTCTGTGGTGAAAAAAGTACTCCATTTTTACCACACTAAAATGTTACTCAAGTAAAAGTCATCCAGTAAAATACTACTCAAGTAAAAGTAAATAAGTACCTTGTACAAAATACTTAAGTATAAAAAGGAAATAAACTTTACCCTGCTATATTTTCAAATATGTTGATCTTCTTAAAACCAACCTATGTTTTTAACTTCACTCAAGACAGGTTTGAATACAGCTTTATAGGTTATAGTGACTCACAATAAGGACAACTCAGGACAAGTGGATATTTCCTATACTGAGCAGGGGATTAGCTTGCGTTATTGCTCTGCTGATGTGGCAATATCTCCTTCAAACCATGTCACAGACAAAGAACCCCGTTAGCTCACAGTTACAAACAGCAAGGTTGGCGCCTCCGTTTTTATATGTTTATATTGCAAAACTCTACCAGTTGCGTTAACACTTGGTCACAAACTGGCTGCAATTCCCAGCATGAGAGCAGAGCTGGTCCAGACCTCTGTGGGCCTCTAAGCAAAATTCTACCTAATTTTTAGTATTTGGATTCAGAAACTAAAAATGTAAATATGACTCTGTTTTTCCCGTATGTTCTTTTTGTGGTTCATTTTGTGGACTATGAATGATTCAGTACAGAGCTGGCCGAGCCACTAAGCAACCTTTGCGGTGGCATAGAAAAAGAAATTTAAAATAATAAAATGAAAGACCTCTTTATTAGGCACCATAAACATAGTGATTATTTTATTTTATTAGTGAGACCTTGTGAAAGAGCTCCATTAAGGTGCTTCTGTTGTCAGGAGTATAGAAAGGTATAGCAGCAGTATGTAGAGGAGTCAGAAGATGTGGGAAGAACAACTGTGAAAGTGAGGAGTGTGAAGAGGAACAAGTAAAGTGCATTCATTGTGCAGGAAATCACCATGCGCAATGTCTGGAAAACAAATAAAAGTGAGTAAAATCAGAACATCAGAGGGTCTATCATATGCCAAAGCTACCAAGAGACTAGAAAGGAAGGATGAACGAGCAGCATGGCAAAAGGAACAGGAGCCTGAAAGGAAGGGAGATGATCAGAATATAATCTGCATGGACAAGAAGCAATCTCTGGCATTTACTGCTATGGTGGTTTATTGTGCTGTAGAAATTAAGAGAGAGTCAGAGAGGATTAAGGTGGTGCTGGACGCAGCAAGGAGATTCTTGGACATTGCAGACATCAGGAGAATAAATGAATCACTACACTGAGGGAAGGATTCACACCATCTCAGACAATTCATAGAACAGACAATGCATTGAATTGGAGTACTTTGGGGGGACACTGTAAATTTATTGGACTAGGAAAACTATAAACCACGAGAAAAAAAAAGACGAATAACGAACAGTGGAGGGCAGCAATGCGCCATATATGCTTCTAGTCTGCTTAATACAAGAAGAAAATGACAACAGAAGACCCTTGAAGAAGAGAGGCAAGAAGATAAATTTACGTAAGCCCACAGGCTCCATATTCCTATGCCTGTATTTTTAAATAATCTGAACTAAAGGTCTTACATTAGCCTTAGTTAGCTGCGTTGGTATTAACAATGCTAATGCTATACTTGCTAACAAGTAACAACTTTCACAAACTGCATAAAATTAGTATTTGTGTTATGCCATAGTATAGGAAAAAAATAAATCATATTATTAAAGTCAGTTGATTAAGTTAATAAGTTAATATTGTCATTAGGACATGGGTCTTCTTCAATTTAAGCATTAGCATCTAGCATTATCTTTGGAGCTGAACTGTTCACATCTGGTGTTATGAAGCATTTAACAGAACAAAACCAGATAGGCCAGGTTTGAACATGGTCATGTAACCACCTATAGAGATGCCCTGTCCTTTGATTATAAGTCAAATCTGTCAGGCAGGGAGTGAGTAGTAGCTGTTTATGTGAGCAGATTATTGAGCAACATCATGGAGCCTCCTCCAAAGCTGCCTCAAAGGCATCTCATCTAAAGTCATGATAAAAATCATTGGTATCATCCAAGAAGCTGACCATCCTGGAAAGTTTAGGCCTACATCAACAATAAATGAACAATTATTCACCTCTAGGAGCACCCAGTGTATGAACATGTCAACTTACTAAAATTACTTATTTTCTGTGCTAATCTTCCTCATAGGTGTACCTGTGCCCAGTGGATAGCAGTATCATTGTGCTCACCACGACACCCGGCCCCACAGTTTCTACTCCTCCCGTGGATCCAGCTGACTGGCCATCAGTCCTTAATGACCAGTAACATGTTGATGTGGTGAGCAGGGAACCAGCACAGGTTGACAGAGACATTTTTACATTTTCAAAAAGACAGACAGTAAAAGTCTTTTCTGTCATTACATGTTTAGATCACTCATAAAGAAGCTGGTTGAGAAAATGATGCTATCAACAGTTTTGTAGTTTTTGTCTCTTAAACTGGTGTTTGGCTGTTATTAAATATTTAAGCTTTGGTCAGTCAGAATCACTTTATCAGTCTTTTTATTCAGAAGTTCAGAAGAACTTTCCGGTTGGCTGGTTTAATGCATCTTTTGTTCTGTACAACAGTAATTGAATGCCGACAGTTCTTGGCCAGGCGTCCATATGTGAAGAGTTGCGAGTGAGAATGGGTTGTCAGGCGAGTCTGGATCTTATTTGGCACATCTTCCCACAACCATTCTGACTGTCCTTATTTCTGAATACTGTGCCATGATGTGTTCAGGTGTCTCCAGAAAAGCTGAGTGGTTCTCACTGTCCAGTCTGATGTGACTCTTGTGCTCGTCTCAGTGTCAGTCTTCGTGTTGAGGGCTCAGATGTTTCCAGCCACACATCTTCCCCCCACCGCTCTGACTGTCCTTATTTCTGAACGCTGTGCATCTGAAAAAGTATGTTGTCGATCCTGTCCTGAGTTTCTCTGTGAGTTTGTTCATTTGTCAGTTCTGTATCTGTCATTAAGGTCCGTTGTGTTTTTGGGTTTCTGTCCTGTCTGTCGTCTTGTATCCAGTCTTCTTTGTGTGTTTGTGTGTTTGTGTGTTTGTGTGTTTGTGTGTTTGCGTTTAGATTTGGTCCTGTCTGTTTATGTCTTGTGGAGTTGGTCTATGTAGTTATGTCTTCTGCTTGTTCTGTGTGGTGGTTCTGGTCTGATTGCTCCTGTTATCTCAGTGTCTGCCTTAGTACTTGTTCAGTTCTGTTCCTGTCTTGTGTTAGATCTGTACTATCATTCCTCCTCGGGAGGAGTTTAGGTTCACAGGATAAGTTGGAAAACAGTCAGTTTCTCTCCTCCTGCGGAGCCTGAGGCGGCTGTCTGACACACCGTTTCATTTCCTCATTCATTCTGTCGATATCAAACCACATATCTGAACGCATTTACATCTTTAAAAACTTTAAAATCCTGGTTAGATAGGCTATTAGTTTTTTTCCCCAAACATGATCTTGAACATGACTGCTTTTATGATCAATCTGTCGTCGATAGTATATGGACAGATCTCCACACAACGTAGATTTATCCTCAGCCCGGAATAAAATCTGTGTCCGTCTTTAGTTTAGGCTATAACGCTGCACAGTTGCACTGAAAACACTTACTGTGGTTGCGGGTCACCTGCTGCCCCCGTGTTCCTGCTCGACACCCTCTGCTGCAACGACTATTGTTACTAGTCCTATTATTATTATTGTTATTATAATCATTAACATTATGATTGTTACCATTAACACTATTATAAATATCTGTACCATTTTTCATTTAGTCTATAGCAACATCACCTTTACTGTCTGTACCTCTGTGTGGATATTGTGTAGGCTGCCTCCCTCCCCTCTCTCTCTCTCTCTCTCCCTCTCTCTCTCCTTCACCCCCAACCGGTGGAGGCAGATGGTCGCCCACCCTGAGTCATGGTTCTGCTCGAGGTTTCTGCCTCTTAAAGGAAGTTTTTCCTTGCCTCTGTCTCCTAGTGCTGCTCTTGGTGGGAACTGTTGGGCTTCTGTAAATAGCATCACAGAGTACGGTCTAGACCTGCTCTTTTATGAAAAGCACTGTGAGATAACTGTTGTTGTGATTTGGCGCTATATAAATAAAATTGAATTGGGCTACATTACTGCAGAAATCACTGTTTAATATGTAACCTATAAAGCTGATCAGTGAACAGTAATCTTTCATATTGTAGGCTAGTCGCACTGATTGGAGCATGACCTGTAATTTTCTAATGTTAAACTCAGATAAAACTGTGACGCATTATCTAAAGATATAGTTTCCCTGGATGGCATCGCCTTGGCCTCCAGCACCACTGTGAGGAATCTTGGAGTTATCTTTGATCAGGACATGTCGTTTAAGTCTCACATTAAGCAAATTTCAAGGGCCGCCTTTTTTCACCTACGTAATATTGTGAAAATCAGGAACATCCTGTCTAAAAATGATGCAGAAAAACTAGTCCATGCATTTGTTACTTCTAGGCTGGATTACTGCAATTCCTTATTATCAGGCTGCTCGAAAAAGTCCATTAAGACTCTTCAGCTGATCCAGAATGCTGCAGCACGTGTTCTGACAGGAACCAGGAAAAGAGATCACATTTCTCCTGTTTTAGCTTCTTTGCATTGACTTCCAGTAAAATCCAGAATAGAATTTAAAATCATTCTTCTTACCTACAAAGCTCTTAATGGTCAGGCACCATCTTATCTTAAAGAGCTCATAGTACCTTACTACCCCACCAGAGCACTGCGCTCCCAGAATGCAGGGTTACTTGTGGTTCCTAGAGTCTCCAAAAGTAGACTAGGAGCCAGAGCGTTCAGCTATCAAGCTCCTCTCCTGTGGAACCAGGTTCCAGTTTGGGTTCAGGAGGCAGACACCATCTCCACATTTAAGAGTAGGCTTAAGACTTTCCTCTTTGATAAAGCTTATAGTTAGGGCTGGCTCAGGTAGTCCTGAACCATCCCTTAGTTATGCTGCTATAGGCCTAGACTGCCGGGGGATTTCCCATTCCCTCTGTTGCCTAGTGCTTGCTCTTCGTGGGAACTTTTGGGTATCTGTAAATAGCATCATAGAGTATGGTCTAGACCTGCTCTTTTATGAAAAGCACAACTGTTGTTGTGCTTTAGCACTATATAATAAAAATTTAATTGAACTGAATTGAAAAAGGCATAGGGCTGCCAGTGGCTCAGTGGATAAGACACATTCACCATTGTCACCCTGAGCAAGACGCTTAATCCATAATTGCTTCAGAGGCGTGCGACCTCTGACATATAAAGCAGTTGTAAGTTGCTTTGGATAAGCTTCAGCTAAATGAGTAAATGTCAATACTTTAACTATATGAAGCTGATAATACTTGTGTACTTTTACAAGTAGTAAAAGTAGTCCAGTAATTTCCTCAAGTAAAAGTACTAGTGAGAAAGTCCTTCATGTTCTTCTCCATGTTCACTGGATCTACTGTTTGATTGAAAGTGTGATTGTTGTGAAGAAAGTAAAAAGTGCTCAGAGTTTAATGAACATGACAGAAGGCAACATGAGCGCTCAGCTTCAGTCAGATAATGAAATATATGTAGTCCTGTACGTGTAGAGCAACATATCACTGAAATACTTGCCAGACTTTAGTTGTCCCCCTGATTTTTAGACACAACGAAAAGAGTTCTTCTTGCAGACGGTCTTCTTTTTGAACATAAATGTGGAGACTCCCTCGGCCTGTAGAGTTTGGGGAGATTATTACTGACTGTACAAACCAGCTGCGTTTACTCATCCGTCCCGAGAGACCCATTCTCTCCAGTCCTAATATAATTAACTTCTAGTACTAGTACTATTACTGCTACCACTAAACAGACAGCACATCTAAATATACAACTATCAGTGAGCTGTTTGATTGAAAGAATCAGAGAGAATTTCACTCATTGCCTTCAGAACAACAAATCCTTCAGCTGTCAGAGAGAAATGTATTAAACGCCTGTGGGGCCTATTGTAGAGTAGTACAGGTACAGAAATATTCCAGCTCACTGCAGATGATTACATGTCACAGCTTGCCCGACACAAACTACCAGGATAACCGATTACTGGAACTGATTACTTTGCCTTCAGACCAGTTGGACAACATTCTTTGAGGAAGACATGGTGACACAGCAGCAGCAGAGACAGGACTGATTATAGGAGGAGTCATCTATAATATAAATCAGCAGGTCTCTCAGTTTACAGATGGACTTGGACGAGACGCCGGCAAGCTGCTGATCTGACGGACATCCACAGGAACGAGCTGAGTGAGTCTGATCTTTTTAACACCTGTAAAAAAAGTGGTGGGAGGGAACCAGATCTTATGGTTCTCTTCATTTTCAGAGACCCACTCAAAACCACCAGTATCATTTAATTTTGCATGTGTGGACTGAGTTTAGGTTTTAAAGTAGGGCTGTGAAATCCCAGCAAGAATTATTTATAATTGTTATAGTTACTTGATTGCTTGACTTTTTACCATTTTAAAGATTTTAGTTACAGTGCACAGATTGTAGTTGACCTTTAATTAATTCTATTGAGGGAGCCATTTTGTGTCTTGTTGTTCCGGGGCACATGGTGGCATCTCTCCCTTGGTGGTGGCTCTCTAGGGGTGCGGTGCCCTCATCCAGGGTCTGGGCCGGTCTCGGGTTTGCGAGGCCACAGGCTCTGCCTGCACTTAAGAGGTCTTGCCTCTGGCTGGGCTGGTGGACTGTCGTTCCTGGTTTTCCTGTAGTCTCGCGTACTTGCTGCATGGGCTCCCCAGTGCAGCTCTCTGCCATTCTCCCTTGGGGCGTAAACAGTGTCCACCTCTCTGCTATGAAATGTTTTCTTGAAATAGTCTGAAACTTATCGAACAGGCTTTGAGGTATGTTTCACCTCATTGCTGTCTGTGAGGTGTTACCCAACCAGCAGCAATGTGTATATAAACCCTGCAATAGTTAAAATGTACCCAACAGGGTGTTCAACACACCACTGTTTAAACGTTTAGCTAAGCTGTGTCGGGGCTGAATGCACATGATTACTATCCGATTTAATCAAAAAAACAGAGCTGAGCTGACTTTACTGCTGAGATATGAGGAAGATTCAGAACTGGTCTGACAGCCTGAATAAGTTTCGTACTCTGACACAAACGTGATCATTTTTTTTCTCTCTACACAGCAGCAAATCAGAGGGCACCAGAGGTTTGTCTCTTCACCTGGAAAATAATTTATGAATGTTGTGATGTCAGACCCTCTAGGAGGTGGGGCTTGTGTTTTATTCCCTGGGTTTGATTAGCCAGGTTTGTCAGTCACCTTTTTTCCCCCCCAGTCCTACGCCCCTGTCTGCAAACATGTGCCCTGTGTGGATACTAATAAAAGATCACAATTAGGGTTTCATTTACCTCGGAAGTCGGAGCTGGGAATGACATCACACCTGAGCTGACTGCGTTCCAGTTAACAAGTCGATAAAACCTCACTCGACCAGCCATTGGTTACAACTAGCCAGGTTAGCCGTTGTTACCAATGCCGCATTACGCATACTAAACACAGTAGCAACATGTCCACAGACAGCAGTTGGAAAATACTTTGTGTACGATAATTTCTGTGAGACACAAATACACAGTAGTGCTAATAAACAGTACAAACTACAGCTTTCACTACTGTTAATCCACAGAGCATCAATCTAGGAACGTTGTGGGCAGTGTGGTTCCTACAACTTTCTGAGTTGGAATTTTGACTTAAGGGGGTTTCCAGTTGAAATTTCTGACTGACAACGTGGAAATTCCGACTTCCCAGTATAACTGGAACGCACCATTATCACTGCAGTCTGTAGCTGGTATCTGTGTAAAAAAAACACCTGTACATAAACAACAACCTGCCGGATCAGTTCTTTTATTTATTGATTATCTCCATCTGTATTATTTATTTATCTTCTGATGAATGTGAATTAATTATTGAAGAACCCAGAATATGATCATGGTGTCTTTTGATTTTTTTAGACAACACTTTTTTTTCAACACTTTGGAGGCTTTGAAGTTGCTTTGATAGTTTTACAACAAGATCGTCTTTAGTTAGGGTTTGTTTCTTGCTGTCTAATGTTTGTAGTAGTTGTTCACTTCTTAATTCATTTGATAGTCTGAAGAACTCTTGTGTTTGAAGAGAAATCTACATGTTGGCTTATTGATTTAGTGGAATGAAATAATATGATGAACAGCTGATGTTCATTTCCTTTCTTCAGCTGTCAGAAAACAAACTACATTGGAGTTTCAAACCAGCGTCTCCACCAGCGTGGAGTCCAGCATGTTCTCATTACCAAAGCATCAAATATCTGTGCTTTGTCACGTCTTTTGGTTTCTGGTACCAATGCATATGGCATCCTTTCACATCATAGTCTAACGCTAAATCAACTGCGTGCCGTTTTCATATAAATAACCGAGAAGTCAGAGTAAATGTTGGAGAAAGACACTTAACCCCTAGGTGTGACCGCTGACATGTATAGCAATTGTAAGTTGCTTTGGATAAAAGTGTCCGCTAAATGAATAAATGTAAATAAGAACAGAAAATTGATCAGACCTGAAGAAGTTCATGGTAAGAAACTTTAGGTTTCCAGCTTTCCATAAATTTTTATGCGTATATTTGATCTGTTAACTGGTTACATATGTGGTATCTTATTTTAAATTTACATTTTGACGTATCTTCGCCCATCCCTGCTAACGTTTCCTGTCAGACCTGAAGGGGATGACTATTTTGTCTTTGGTGGGGGCGGGGTGCTGCATGCTGGTAGAGCTGAGGTCTATTTGATTAAAATCAGCACCAATAATTAAAACACCATCTGTAATGTGACCAGGACATAGCACAAAAATCTGAACCGTGTACATTGGCATTCTCTACTGACCCCTCCCCACATCCACGGCTATTCATTCTAGCATCTCTGTGGGCCCTTCTCATATGAGTGTCCTTTCTACTCAGACCCCTTTCCCCTCCAGAGTTTGTGTCATGTTTCCTATCAGTCCTTCAATGAATGTAGTCGCTCCTCCATGCAGGTGTGTGTGCTGGGCTGCAGCTTCATGCCTCCATCTAGTGGACTGATAGTAGAAGTCCAGCAGCTGATGGCAGCTTCCTCTGCCTCACGCTGCTGTCTGACTGCATTCAGCTGCCACTGATATGAAACAGAAACTAGCAGCCAATCAGTGGAGGAGCAGCTGATCTTTTTCCAGGAGGAATGATGGAAAGGAGGATTTGAGTTGATGTGCAGATGAATGATTTGTGTTTCCTCTCCAGGTGAAAGTGGATGTGAGTTGAGCAGCATGAGTCAGTGTGAGGACAGAGAGGAGGGAGTCCCTCCCTCTAAAAGCACTCTGTGTGGGGAACATGACAGCCAGACCAAAGCTCAGAGGTGAGATGAGGATCTCTAACTGTCCAGGACTCAAATCACTCCACCATCATTATTCACTCTCAAAGCTCTGTGTGTGTTGTGTTGAAGCCCAGTGCTGCAGAGACCAAACTTCTCTGGACCTGGACCTGGACCCAGCTGTGTCTCCTTCAAGAGTGACCAGTCAATGGTTGATATCATTGATTTTAAGAGAGGACATGTGTCTGACAGACAGTGAGTATCAGTCAGTATTAAACAGTGTTGGCCAATCAGAGCTAAATGTTCATGTCTCCCTCCTCATGTTGCTCCCTGCTGATGTTTGTCCTCATTAAATCCAGTCTGACCAGTTGTCCTTCTAATGTCCATGTTCTCCTAGAATGATGATGAAGGTCAGAGCCAGATTAGGATTAAAGGACAGGTCCACGTGTTTTCCACTCTGTCCCTAAACAACACTGACATGCCCATATGTCCACTGAAAGAGTTGGTGGTGGCTGTAGCTTTATGGGAAAAGAAACCAACGATGCTTTTATTGAGCTTTAGAGAAGCTGCTAGTTTCTCCTGCAGCTTCTCTGGCCAAAGACTAAAAAGTGAATTTCCATCCCTGGTGGTCTTCCTCTCTAACAGGACAACTTATGAAGGACCAGACTCTGCTGGACCTGGACCTGAGCCCAGCTGTGTCTCCTTCAAGAGTGACCGGTTAATGGGAGGCTTCAATGATTTTAAAGGAGGACAATGCTCTGCTGCAAAGAGGTCAGCTGTTAATAACATTAAAATATTACTGATTCATGTTCAGCTGTTACCCAGAGAAGTTCATCTCATACATTTATATTCTCAAATCAGGTTGCTCTTTGAGAACTACCCACACTTCTTCTGTAAATTTAGGCAGCCTCAGTTGCTTCTCTCTCTTCATGTAATCCCCTTTAGGCTTGATGATGTAAAGATTAAGGCTCCATTGGGGCCACACCATCACTTCCAGGACTCCTTGTCCTTCTTTAAGCTGAAAATTGTTCTTAATTGTGGGTCTTTGTCATGCCACAGAATAAATCTGGGACCAATTAGATGCCTCCCTGTTGGTAATGCTGAATGATGAATAAGTATTGTTATTGTTATTAGTATTAGTTTGTATTGTTATTGTTAAGTTTCTTCAAAAGAGCATGGACAGCACATCTGGAAACCTCTGTCTGCCTTGAAATGAATGCCTGGGAGAGACCTTGTTGATGCAGTTTAATTACCTTGTGTCTTGTTGCTGTGCTCAGTCTTGCCATGTTGAATGACTTTGACAAGAAACAGTCTTCAGCCAACCTCACCTTGTTAGTTGAGTTTGGTTATCCAGGTAGCCCAGCTCCTCCAGGATGGCACATTCATACGTGCTGTCGCCTAAGGGCGATACTGTACAACACATTATGGCCTCAGACAAAGTGACGTTAACACCGAATTTTCAGGATGTAACCAGTCTTTAAGAAAGAAAACATAATATTACAAGACTAACTAATTTCATGAGTATCCTCTTCAGACTGTTTGTCCGACACAGTTTGGGACTCCATGTTGCATGTGAAACTGAAACTAACTGAAACACTTCTGATGGGCAGAAATCTCACCACAAATCCACACACATGAAACCTCAGCACCTCTGATAAAGTGCAGCTCACAGTCCCAAACAGCAAGTCTGCACCTAAGTTTTTAGATGTTTTTATATTGCAAAACTCTACCAGCTACATCATGTTCACACCACTGTGAACTTTATACACGTGTGGGCTGGCCAGCACTGGAAAATCGTAGACTCAGTCATTGGTATATGTTTATTTATAAGGGTATTCTGCGTCTGCTCCCCTCATATCTGTGTGAATATATTCAACCAAAAGGGGCTGGACTGTATTCTTTACGCTCACAAGACTCACTGCTACTGTCTGTACCAAGTGTCCGCACAGAAGCTGGTAAGGTGGCATTTCACTTTTCTGCCCCCACAACATGGAACAATTTACAAAAATTCTGGAAATTAAAGGAACTGGTTTCAATAGGCCAATTTAAACTCTTGCTCAAAGGTTTGGAAATGAAATCTATGGTTTGTAAATGTTTTTAAATAGTCTTATGAAATTGTTATGAAATTGTCTGAAATGTACTGAATTGTTGTGTCTTGGCCAGGACTCCCTTGAAAAAGAGATTAGTAATCTCAATGGGATTTTCCTGGTTAAATAAAGGTTTAATAATAATAATGGGTGTAGCACAAAATTCTGGACCTCTTTGCAGAAGCATTCTTAACGGGCCCCTCCCCGCATCCACAGCTACTCATTCTTGTATAGTGTTCTAGTATACCCCCAGTCTTACGCTCCTGAGCTACGTTACCGCTCAGTCACAAGTATAGGGATTCTCAGCGTGAGAGTGGGTTCACTTGATTAATATCACGGCGAATGCTGGTGTTGCATGAGCTGGACGGAGCCGATTAGCTCCGTGAGTCGATGTCACTGCACGATATATATATATATATATATATACGATATATATATATATATATATATATATATATATATATATATATATATATATACACACATACACACACATGTGTGTGTATATATATATATATATATATATATATATATATATATATATATATATATATATATATATATATATATATATATATATATATATATATATATATATATATATATGTGTGTGTGTGTGTGTGTATATATATATATGTATATGTATATGTATACACCCAGGGCCCACTGCACCAGTGTAATGTCTGACAATGGCTCGTGGGGGAAGGATGTGCCTTCCCAGACCATCACTGAACCACTGCCATACCGAAAGGCATGCTGGATGAGGTTGCAGGCAGCATAAAGTTCACCACAGTGTCTCCAGACTCTTTGTCTGTCACATGTGCTCAGTGTGAACCTGCTCTTATCTGTGAAGAGAATGTATATGAATATGTATATGTGTGTACATATATGTGTGTGTATGTATATATGTGTATATATGTATGTTAATTTCACCTATACGTAGTAAGATGCGTTATATTAATCAGGAGTGATACAAATATGACTACATCCTTCCTTAACTCAAATAATTGTAAACAGAGGAATTAATCAAATGGGTATAATTACTCCCTGAGTGGCAGCAGGCAGAAATCAGTGAGTTAAACGATGGGATTAAACTGACCCACCTCTACTTCTTAACTCTAAAAAAATGCAGACTGATGTTGGGAAAGTAATCTAAACAATGTTGTTGATAGGAGGATCAGTTAGTAGACTTTGGCGTGCTGGTTTAGTTTCAGACCAACTTAAAACAGTGAAAACTTGTGAAGTCAGCTAACTGCAGAACATACAAGTCACTTTTGTTTTTCCTGCAGCTCTTTACTGGGGTATCTAGAGTGGCAGAAAACAGTTCTGTTGGATAGCCAGACAAAACAGAGAGAAAATGTCAAATGACTCCGCAACATATCGTCTGACTGTGTTCTGGTTGGGTGTAGATTATATTTTATTTTTATGTATTTCAGATGGAAGCTGGAAACACTAGAACCCAGCTGTGTGTCAATGAAGAGTGACAACTCTATGGAACCTCCTATATGCTTCAAAGATGGACGTCACTCTATTGATCCAAGGTGAGGATTTAAAACTGATTACAAAAAACTACAATAAAAAAACAGTGTGTTTGTATCAAAAACTCAGTTTTCAGATTTCCATTTTTTAAACATTTCCTGACTTATAATGAAGTTCTCTGAGGACAATGGCAGGCCAACATGGAGACAATGTTAGTAAAGTTACACCTAATGAAAAGGCCAATAGAAAACTAGACTTTGTTTAGAACTCTTGCAATTGTTTGTCTTATTACATTGTGCACAATGTCCACATCAAAAGTTTTGTTCCCCAAAAAGTAAAGTACCTCAGCTGACAGCAGCATAACGGTGCATCACATCAGGCTGGAGTTCTGCCACTGTCAACATGTCTGTCTATGCAGAGGAGGGTGTTATGGATAACTGCAGAAGATCACCTTTTACCAACTTCTCTGAACAATACCTGTGCCTGTTTGCATACATGTAGCCCAGAGAAGTATTCAGTGTGAAATCAGGCTTAGCTTTGGTTTTCTCTGGTTTTATTTTTTTATTTTCCTTATGTTTCACTCACTTCACCTGCCACATGTCTATTGTGACTACCAATTGGCACTGGAGAGGTAAAGTCCAATTATCTTGTGTGAGCTGTGCATTGCTGTCCACAGTGTCAATAAGAGCTTGAAATACTAAATCTGACAAGCTGGTGTACCAACACAGTAAACCAGAAGCTACACAGAAATGCAGACTGGACTGTTGAGTCACAGTGGGATCAGCAGTATGAACTATAATTTAATGTCAGGAGAAACTATCTGATTCAATGTTGTAATCAACACTTTAACTCTAAGGACCTTTCCTTGTATTTTTCTCTGTTTAGACAGACACAATGGGAGCTAATCCTAAATTATGTAATGGGACTTTTCTTCTAGTGAGCCTCCTGAAATAAAGATTTTAATCCTGACATCATTGTTTTATTTTTTGCAAAGGGTCAGACAAACATACAGACTGCCATCAGCGTCAGAGTGCAATAAGTCTGAAAAGTGTAATAACAGAGCCAGTGAAGAAACATGTTACTTTACATTAGTCTATATTACTATTTATATAGTTTATTATGCAGCTGGGAGGAACTACCCTAAGATGATGACACTTTATTTCCTATCAAGGACAGTCAGATATGAAATCCTTTAACAAGCTACCTTCCCATGAGAACTGCTTTCCAACAACATAGTAACATAGTAAACAACATTGTAAAGCATTAAGCACCACATGGTGAAACCTATAATACTAAGACACATAAAGGTAAACAGTAAATACTGTAAAACATACAATTTTCATCACAATGATTCCTCCATAGAGTCGACCAGGAGAGCTCAGAGGTTCCCAGTGGTATCTCTGCCCAGCAGCATCAAACACACCTGGACTCCATATTTATGGTCTGTACATGTACAACAACTACTTTCCATCTATACTGTTCACAATAATCTCCACGCTGCACTTTTTAGACCAGTGGATTGTCAGTCTGTCCAACATGGATCTGATGTTTGGTTCCATGATTTGACTTTGATTGTGTCCTTCATATAATATTCTGTTCCAGCTGCTGGAGGAGAACATTGTCACTTTTGTGAAGAACGAACTGAAGAAGTTCCAAAAGGTTCTGAGTTCAGATTACCCAGAATTCTTAGAGAGTCAGATGGAGGATGAGAACGTGTTGGACGGTGAGGAGAAAGAGCAGAGGAGGAGCAGCAAAGAGGCTTTTCTGAAGATCACACTGCACTTCCTGAGGAGAATGAAGCAGGAGAAGCTGGCTGAGCGTCTGCAGAGCGGTAAGAGTATTTCTCTAAATATTTTACATGCTGAATAAACGGGACATTTACTGATATCTCAAGGGATGGAGGGCAATACGTTTATATATGCATTTCTTAGAACTGTCAAATTATTTATGATCTTATTTGTTTTGTGTTCGTTCAGACACATTTGCTCCAGTTTGTTTCCAGCATAAACTTAAATCTAAGCTGAAGAAGAAGTTCCAGTGTGTGTTTGAGGGGATTGCTAAAGCAGGAAACCCAACACTTCTGAACCAGATCTACACAGAGCTCTACATCACAGAGGGAGGGACTGTAGAGGTCAATGATGAACATGAGGTCAGACAGATTGAAACAGCATCCAGGAAACCAGCCAGACCAGAAACAACCATCAGACAAGAAGACATCTTTAAACCCTCACCTGGAAGAGATGAACCAATCAGAACAGTGATGACAAAGGGAGTGGCTGGCATTGGGAAAACAGTCTTAACACAGAAGTTCACTCTGGACTGGGCTGAAGACAAAGCCAACCAGGACATACAGTTCACATTTCCTTTCACTTTCAGAGAGCTGAATGTGCTGAAAGAGAAAAAGTACAGCTTGGTGGAACTTGTTCATCACTTCTTTCCTGAAACCAAAGAAGCAGGAATCTGCAGCTTTGAAGAGTTCCAGGTTGTCTTCATCTTTGACGGTCTGGATGAGTGTCGACTTCCTCTGGACTTCCACAACAATGAGGTCCTGACTGATGTTACAGAGTCCACCTCAGTGGATGTGCTGCTGACAAACCTCATCAGGGGGAACCTGCTTCCCTCTGCTCGCCTCTGGATAACCACACGACCTGCAGCAGCCAATCAGATCCCTCCTGAGTGTGTTGACATGATGACAGAGGTCAGAGGGTTCAATGATCCACAGAAGGAGGAGTATTTCTGGAAGAGATTCAGAGATGAGGAGCAGGCCAGCAGAATCATCTCCCACATCAAGACATCACGAAGCCTCCACATCATGTGCCACATCCCAGTCTTCTGCTGGATCACTGCTACAGTTCTGGAGGAGGTGTTGAAGACCAGAGAGGGAGGAGAGCTGCCCAAGACCCTGACTGAGATGTACATCCATTTCCTGGTGGTTCAGACAAAAGTGAAGAACATCAAGTATGATGGAGGATCTGAGACAGATCCACACTGGAGTCCAGAGAGCAGGAAGATGATTGAGTCTCTGGGAAAACTGGCTTTTGAGCAGCTGCAGAAAGGAAACCTGATCTTCTATGAATCAGACCTGACAGAGTGTGGCATCGATATCAGAGCAGCCTCAGTGTACTCAGGAGTGTTCACACAGATCTTTAAAGAGGAGAGAGGGCTGTACCAGGACAAGGTGTTCTGCTTCGTCCATCTGAGCGTTCAGGAGTTTCTGGCTGCTCTTCATGTCCATCTGACCTTCATCAACTCTGGTGTCAACCTGCTGGCAGAAGAACAATCAACCTCCCAGAAGTCTGAAACAAGAAAAGATGAATCTGCAGTGATACAGTTCTACCAGAGTGCTGTGGACCAGGCCTTACAGAGTCCAAATGGACACCTGGACTTGTTCCTTCGCTTCCTCCTGGGACTTTCACTGCAGACCAATCAGACTTTCCTACGAGGCCTGCTGACACAGACAGGAAGTGACTCAAATACAAATCAGGAGAAAGTCCAGTACATCAAGAAGAAGATTGAAGAGATTCCCTCTGCAGAGAAAAGCATCAATCTGTTCCACTGTCTGAATGAACTGAAGGATTGTTCTCTTGTGGAGCAGATCCAACGCTCCCTGAATTCAGGAAGTCTCTCCACAGATGAACTCTCTCCTGCTCAGTGGTCAGCTCTAGTCTTCATCTTACTGTCATCAGAAAGAGATCTGGACGTGTTTGACCTGAAGAAATACTCTGCTTCAGAAGAGGCTCTTCTGAGGCTGCTGCCAGTGGTCAAAGCCTCCAAGAAAGCTCTGTAAGTGGGATTTATTTATCAACACATACTCTTCAATAATCTTTCAATAAAAAATAAATAACTGTTTCCTGACTATTGTCTCTCCAGACTGAGTGGCTGTAAACTGTCAGAGAGAAGCTGTAAAGCTCTGTCCTCAGTTCTCAGCTCCCAGTCTTCTAATCTGAGAGAGCTGGACCTGAGTAACAACAACCTGCAGGATTCAGGAATGAAGCTGCTGTCTGCTGGACTCGAGAGTCCAAACTGTACGCTGAAAATGCTCAGGTCAGGATTCATTTACCCATTCATCTGATGACCATTTCAAATATTGGGTCTTCTTCTTCTAACTAACATTTCACTTTTGTGAGTACACACAGCGCTTTGTTGAAAGTGCATGTCATTAGTGACGTACTGTGACTCCAGATTCTATGACTATAGGCGCAGCCCTAAGGCTATTGCTAAATGGCTTATTCCTCCCGCACATGCGCAGCACTGACGAGCTTTGTTCAGGCCCACCAAGATAGAGCTGATTTGAAAATTTGCTACTATGTTTTTTCAGAGATGTGAGGTCCTGCTGTCATCAAGTCAGGTTGTATGTCAAAGTGTCCTTGGGCAAGATACTGAACCCTGAATTGACTTCATGAATTGTGGCGTGTATGAATGTGTGTGACTGGTGAATGCAGATGTAGTGTAAAAGCTCTTTGAGTGGTCGAAAAGAATAGAAAGGCGCTATACAAATACGGAGCATTTACAAGTCCGCTGGATTGCAGAAAGATGGACTGCGTGCCCCCATCCCTTGAAGTTTGTACTTCTCGAATTATTTACATGATATTACCGTTTGTGTATTATTACCATAATATCAAATGAAGTTTATAAACTAGATTCGGGAACTAAGACCCCGCCTTGAACTCATCCAATTTCCGCACACCAAGTACTTAAGCACACCTTTTCCGTTCACCTCCCCTTGACTCAGCTTTCTCATGAGCGTTACAAACAAAAACCAAAAAATCACTTACCTTTAACAATGGATTCAGAACTCGTTCTTAATTCTTCAGCGACATGTTCGACAATCATCTGACATCGGAAATACCGGAGTCTTCTTCTTCTCACGATCAACCTCATTTGAAACGTCCGCTGTGTTCAGCTATCCATATTCCCCAGCGCTCTCAGCCTACAATCTCTGACAATTTGAACATTGTCGAGCCTGCCAGCAGCTCCAGGGGGAGATCCCCGCTTCGGTTCCCCCGAGCATGCAGCCTCGACCAGCCACCGTTCGCCGACCCGCTCAAGGTCCAGGCGCTTGAGCGATAATTGGAGCTATCACTACCAGCAACCACCAAGCCAACACTCCAACTGTCCCTCCACTCCAAATATTACCGAGTGGACAGTTGTCCGGATCAAACAAGAACTCAACCAGAGAAACATTTCTTTCCACTACTGCGACAACAAAGCGAACATTTTTCCAGCAGTACAAGGACTCGCTATGACACATATCTCTCCAACGCTGAGCTTCCCCAGCATTTACGGGTCACCAGCACAACCTCCGGGGCAACACCAACGACTTTGTGATGCATCCTACAGCAAAAGAACCTGGATACAACCCCGCATCAGCCCTCACACAGGGCCAGGTTGTATCAAACCCTGTTACACCACAACCTCTTTCTCTACCTCTCAAACATCACTATCAACCTGAGCACGTGCATCCCTCCATCCCAGCATCCTTTCCAACTTTCCCTATCCCATCTCCTCTGGATCCATCAGTCCTTCCTGCCTCAAAACCTGCTACACATATGCCCAGACCTCACCTACACATGTGACCCATCTGTTCCTCCTGTCTATTCTTTTCCCCCTCCCCCACCCCATTTCCCAAATGCATCCAATGTGACTGTTACCTCCTCTAATATACCCCTATTCTCCGCATCTCCAGCCACAGCCACTCCAACCGGTCTTTCCACATATCCGCCCCCGTCTAATCACTTTAGCCACAACTATACCTTCCGTGTGCCCCTCAGGGCCAGCCAAACCATCCCCAGTGTCAACGTCACTCAGGCAACAGATTCTCGCCGGTAACCAGATTGACGTCGCTTTCCTGATTACGCCATCCTTACATAACCTGCTTATTCCCAGGGAACTGCAAACCTCTCTTGCCGCTATCGAACTCAAGCAACCACTTCCCACCAAATCCAATGGCTAAAGAAATCAAAGAAACCTTCATGCTGGGCCCATTTTCCAGCCCACCGTTTCCCACATTCAGAATAAGTCCCATTGGCGTGAAATATTCCTTTCCATGTATTATTCAACCTTCGATCATGCCATCTCCCTCATCTGCACCGCAGGGCAAGAAGCCTGGTCATCCAAGGTAGATATCACCAGCGCTTTCAAATTGCTTCCCATCCATCCCGACTACAGGCACCTTTTCGGTGTTCTCTGGAAGGGTGCTCACTACTTAGCAGTTCGTCTAACCTTTGGGTGTAAGAGCAGCCCAAAAATATTTAACTCCCTTTCCGAAGCACTCTGCTGGATCCTGACAAACAACTACAAACTCCCATTCGTCATCCACCTTTTAGATGACTTTCTCACTGTTAAACCACCCTCTTTGCCGCCATCTTGCGGCCTCACCATTTTGACTTCCAAATTCCGCGAACTTGAGTCCCTCTCTCCCAGAGAAAACAGAAGATCCCAACACATCACTGTAGTTCCTGGGCATCACTCTCGACTCAATGTTACTCCAGGCATCCTTGCCCCACGAAAAAACCCTATTTCCCTACGAATTTTAAATTTTCACTCTGGCTCACCGTTGCACCAAACGCCAACTTCTCTCACTACTAGGCCATTTTAACTACACCACCCAGATTGGTCCTTTCTGTGGCATCTCCTTTCCATAGCAGCTTCCGTCCCATCTCTCCATGACCACATCACGCTAGACACTGCATGCAAGATTGAGCTTAAACTGTGGCACCATTTCCTTTCATCCTGGAACAGCATCTTTGATTGAGGAGCTGTATTGAGGACCATATTCGTGCAGCACCTTCTCACTTGCTCCCTCTTTCTCTCTCTCCTGAACACCACTGCACAAACCTGTCCAAAGTTAGAATTACCTCTGTTCGTCACACAGATAGGAAAAGTAGCCACACATTTCTGGTTTCACCAACACATTCACCAAATTTTATCCAAATCTGGGATATTCTCCCAACTATACTCCGGGTATTCATTCTGAATTAGAACCGCCTCCACTGCCTCCAGGCAGGGAATCCCGGATAATATCAACAAAATCCTTGGCCGCTGGTCCTCACCAGCATACCTCACTTACATTCGTAACGATTTAAATGATATCAGAAACGTACACGCACACCTTTCCACCTGATGTTCTTTTGGGGTTTTCCGCTCTCCTGCCAACGAAGAGACGGCTCCCCCACCCTGAGTCTTGACTCTGCCGGTTCCCGCACACCGGTGTGTTCTTCATTCCGACATCCATCGGCACGGATTCGACTCCTCTCCTTCATGCCTGACCTGTCATCCCCTCTACCCTTCATCCATCACACCTTGACCCCTACCCCTCATCCCTCGATCCTCTTCCCCATCCCTGCATCCCTCACCCCATCCTCCGGGCACTCGAGCCGTTCTTCCCATACAATCTGATCTCAGCTCCATTATAACCAATTAACCATCTTAAATCTGCATCTTTGCAGGCGTGGTCTTTGTTAGTGAATATTACATTTTGTTTAATTAACACAGTTGTTGTCAATACTGGTATATCACGACACCCCTAATCGGTGATTTTAATATTCACATTGTTGATGCCACTTGAAGTTTTGCTGCTGAGTTTCTAAGTATCACTGAATCATTTAATTTTATTCAGCAACTGTCTGTTCCCACAAAAATTAAGGGTCATACCATGGACCTTCTTTTTACTCTTGGTTTAAATATTGAATTTATCTGCTCAAAGGAGTTGCATGTCATTCACCATGACTGTGTTTTGTTCACCTTGTCTTTTAATTTGGGCTTCGTGCTGATGTAAGTTGCTCTCCCATTATAAATAGCTTCTCAGCTGAGAAATCTTCCGCAGCTTTTGACCAAAGCACAGTTCTGTCTCCTCAAGCTGACATTAATAATCTGGTCCACTTAATTTAACTTGCTTTGCAGTTTTGGATAAAGTGACTCCCACTAAAATGAAACAGTTCCCTCCATAAATCCACCCCTCTGGCTGAATGACACCATTTGGTGTTTCAGATGTAAATGTAGACAGTGTATAAAGTGACTGTGGAAATCCACTAAGCTTCACATTCACCACTTTTATTACAAGGACCTTTTAACTGAGTTAAATAATGTGATAAAGGATGCGAGGGCCTCTTACTTTGCTACATTAATTTCTTATAGTAAACCCAACCCTAAAGTCCTGTTTAACAAAATCAAAAACACTGTCACTTCTTCACCCCCTGATGTACTTTGATTGCAATTAATTTCTCTCCTACAGTTCAATACAATCAAGACAGAGGTCCTTATTGTTGCACCCAATAGCATAGCTCCCATGATCACTCAGCTTACTGGGTCACTTTCATTGGCTGTAGAGCAAACGTCAGGAATGTGTCTTTGTTTGGGGAAGTAACCTCTTTAAATGTGTATATTGCAACTTTCCACCTCAACGATAAATTAATTCATTTTAATTCAGTAACAAACTCCTGGACTTTGATATCTCCTGTGTTTCAGAAGGATTTCTGCTCAGAGAAAGGTTGCGCATCAGTTTTAATTAGGTTTATATTGCAAAACTCTACAAGTTACGTTATCACTCATCACAACGGACTGGTCTCACAGCGCGAGGTGCACTTGATTACTATCACGGTTTACGCCGGTGTTGTATTAGCTGGGCTGAGTAGATTCACACCAAGTCAAAAACTTTCTCTTGTGGCGCCCCCTGACATTTTCCACCCTAGGCAATTTGCTATGTCGCCTATGCCACAAGCCGGCCCTGGTCTGAAACACTGCTGCAAGTGTTGACCTGGTCTAGACAGACAAGTCACATAAGACCAATCCTGTCTTCCTTGCATTGGCACCCTGTCAGGTTCAGGATTTAGTTTAAGGTGTTCATTTTCATATATAGAGCTGCTTCAATCGTATACCACCACCAGGCCACTGTATATTACTACAGATTAGCAAGTTAGAAAATAACATTGTACCTTATAGGCTAGATTGTCATTGTGAGCATACTGATGTTACCATTTAGCTAATACAGCCTCACAAAGCTGTTAGCATGGCAGTATACACTTTAACATGGAGATTACAGTGACATGGTGGTGTTAACTCCCCAAATTATTATTATAATTTCCTCCTGTAACTGACTAACACTGTAGGAACCTCAGATGATCTGCCATGAGCATTCTTTGGTGTGTTTGCAGGCTGTCAGGCTGTCTGATCACAGAGGAAGGCTGTGCTTCTCTGGCCTCAGCTCTGAGCTCCAACCCCTCCCATCTGAGAGAGCTGGACCTGAGCTACAATCATCTAGAAGACTCAGGAGTTACGATGCTCTCTGCAGGACTAGAGGGTCCACACTGGAGACTGGACAATCTCAGGTATGAAGAGGCCTGCTGCGACCACAGAAAACCTGATCAATCTGATAGAGGAGGTATTTTTTTGTTAATGGTGGATATAAGGCTTATTTGAACAAACACATGTAGGCCTTTGCTCAGAACAAAAAAACTGGAAAAGGAGGTCTCTAAGTGAAACATCTTTAAGAACAAGCATCGTAATTGCCTGTTGGTAATAATTAAATAATACATTTTGGACAGATCTCTCTGCATGTTAAGGGCGCAATATGTAAGAATGGATTTGAGAATATATAAGTTTAACTAATCGCCTTGTTAACTCATCATAAAACTCAACAGAAACAAAAAAAACCTCACCAAAACAATTGTGGTTAGTCTGTTCCAACAATCACCCGCTCTGGTTTGGTGGTCTACTGCTTGTCACAATCGCCTATCCCTGCCTGAACCCGCCATGTCTTCATAGTCCCTGGGTCTGACCTGCTTTATTGGAGGCTGTGTTCAGTCCCAGTCCGTGTTCACTGGGAGGCTGCTAAACTTGGTTCATTTCCTGCTGGCCTGGCCTGAAAACCTCCTACTGGGGGTCCAAAGCTCCTGTACAAAGACAGAAAAGTTAGCTCCACTGCGACCTAAACTAGCTAACGGCAATTAGAAGCAGTTATGACCTGATGTGTGACATGCTTCCCCCTACTTTTTGAGTTTGAATTCGAGTCCAGAGGCAGTGTCCTGCAGTCTTCAGCATTCATGCACGCCAAGTCTTAGGCCAGATGTTGCTACTGGATGCAGCTTTTAACGAGGGTGTTACAAACAGCGTATGTGTCAATGTGGGTTATGCTGGACAATGGGGATTGAACCCCAATGCAGACAAAAATGTGGAATGCATTGATTATAGAGGATGGATTAAAGAGTCAGATTAAGATTGGGTTCAAATTTCCTTGAGCCTTGCTTAGCATGTTATAGCGGAGGAACGGACTTGGACTAAAAGAGCGTATGTGCTGAAATTGTTGTTGAACTTGAGGGCCTGAGAGGAGAATGACCGATAAAAGGTGGCTTGATGCCTTGAAGCGATTCCAGCCAGTTAGGTATGCTGAGAGAAGCTTGGGCCGAGGCTGTTGAGGATGACTTCTTGTGAAGCGTAGAGAGGTTTCTCAGCTGTGGAGCTGGTTGAATGATATAGCTGAAAACGGTAAGACTGGAATGGGAAGAAGATACAATTCTGGGGATCAGTGTCTGAATTTGGATGAGAGACGAGACAAATCACTAATGGTGTTGTAGTGGCAGGAATGTGAGCTGCTCTGAGGATGAACCGGTGTGTAGCCAAGATTCGTGTGAGTCTGGGAAAGAGCTACTGTAGGTGCTGACTATGGAACGAGATCGACCTTGTGGAATCTCTACAAAAGTGTCAAAGTGTCATTTCTTCAGTGTTGTCACATAAAAAGATATAATCAAATATTTACAAAAATGTGAGGGGTGTACTTACTTTTGTGAGATATCGTATGTGTATGAGAGGAATGTAATGTCCATGTTTGATGCTGAAAGAGGATGTGCTGCTCTGACCCCCTCCTCCTTTCAGGGTGGAGCCTGGTGGAGTCCGATGGTTGAGACCAGGTCTGAGAAAGTGTAAGTGTGTTTTTCATTTGATTCATGAAAACAAAGCAGCACATATTCAACCATCTTCAAACTGTGACATCACTCAGTCAAAGCTCTGATGTCATTGTCAAAGTGTCAATCAATGAACGGATGATAGATCAATAACTGCAGCTTTATTGTGTCTCGTTCTCTCCATCAGATTCCTGTGATTTCACACTCGACACAAACACAGTACACAGAAATCTCAAACTGTCTGACAACAACAAGAAGGCGATATGTGTGGAGGAGGATCAGCCATATCCTGATCATCCAGACAGGTTTGAAGACTGGCCTCAGCTGCTGTGTAGAGATGGTCTGACTGGTCGCTGTTACTGGGAGGTCGAGTGGAGAGGAGAGGTTAATATATCAGTGACTTATAGAGGAATAAAAAGAAGAGGAGGCAGCAAAGACTGTATGTTTGGATGGAATGATCAGTCCTGGAGTCTGACCTGCTCTAACGTTAGGGGTTACTGTATCTGGCACAATAAGAGAGCAACATCCTTCTCTTCCTCCATCTCCTCCTCCTCCTCTATCTCTGAACGAGTAGCAGTGTATGTGGACTGTCCTGCTGGCTCTCTGTCCTTCTACAGAGTCTCCTCTGACACACTGATCCACCTCCACACCTTCAACACCACATTCACCGAACCTCTTTATCCTGGTTTTGGGCTCTGGTCCAGGTTGTCTGGTTCCTCTGTGTCTCTGTGTTCTGTGTAGGAGGGACTTACTAGGGAGTAAGTCTCTTACTCTTAGAGAACAAGTAAGTTGAGTCTCAACAGAATCACTGTTACGGAAATCTTATAGGTTGTAATAAATTCATCAATAAATTTAGAATTGATTCAAAGTTTCCTTTTCTGTTTTCTTTTCTATTGTAAACTTCTTCCACTTCCATGTCTGTCTCACTGACATGAGTAAGCTGGAAGTATAGTATATAAAGTATATGGTCAAAAGTTTGTGGACGCCGTTGTCCATAAAGAAATGCTTTTCCCAGTTTGGTTTGGAAGATCTGGGCTGGCCTGCACAGAGCTCAGACCTTTGGCCCCATCTCTCGCCTTTGGGATAAAGTGGAAAACAAACTGTGAGTCAGACCTGATCACAGCATTGGTGTTGAACCTCACTGATGCTCGGATGTCCTGTTTATCAACCTGAATCATTTTTTACAGTATTTCCTGGTTTTACTATATAATAATGCACTCTGGTCTTCAATTTTATAAGTTTATTCTCTTCGCAGTTTTATTCAGTTAGTTCTTGTATTTTAACAGTCCGTTTTCTATAGTCATTATTTACTTTATTAATCCCAGCCTTCTATTTTAACAGCTCATCCTTTGTATTAATTCTACTTGTATTTTAACAGTACATCCTCTATAGTCATTTTTACAATGCACTGTTTGTTCTTCTACTTTAACAGCTCATTTCAAATAGTTTTACAGTGTATATCCTGGTCTTGTATTTAACAGTACATCCTCTATAGTAATTTTTACAGTTTACGTCCTGGGCTTGTATTTGACAGGACATCCTCTGTTGCCATTTTTTACAGTGTGTGTCCCGCTCTTGTATTTTAACAGTACATCGTCTGAAGTAATTACAGTGTCAATGTCCTGGCATAGCAATTCTTTCATCATGTTTTCAGGTATAATTCCTCACTGTGACCACCTGAGGGCAAAAAACCTAATCATTTCAAGATCAATAGGTGCGTTTGACTTCATGTGGTGCTGCACAGAGATGACTGTATGTGATGCCTGCTGGACTTAACAGAAGGCATGCATGTTAGAAATTGTGTCCGCAAGACAGCTGCCATCAGTAGTTGCTTTTCTCAAGCTGCACAAAGTTGGAACCACCTTTTGTCTGATCTTGCTGCATTTTTCTTTGTAAATGTCGCAAGATCAGTCATTGTTCAAAGCTTACAGTAAGCTCCCGCAGGTAGAATAGACAGAATGGACGTGGTTGTAACATTTTTAGCATTTCTGTCTGTATCTCGGAGCTCTTTTAAGCGAGTCAGTTCAAAATGTGATTGAAACTAGTTAAATGTGTCTGTTATTAAATGGTGTAACTGTTATCTCTGCAGCGCAGATAGAAAATGTCTGGCTTAGTCTCAAACAAAAGGAGTAAAATGTCACAGTTCAGCCTAGAGTCTGGGCTTTCACACCTACTTCGTTTGGTCTGGACTTTTGGACTTTTGAATTTAATCCTAACCAAAATTACAGGTGTGAAACCATGGTCCGAAAATAGGTAGTCACGGTCCGGATCAAACTGAACCATAGGTTAATTTGTTTCTAGCGTGAAAGCATTTCACTGTTTACAGGAAGGAGGAAATGCATTGAACACTGAAAATATGGAATCAAACTGCCACTCATGTCCTTAATCTCTGCTCAAACGGAGGTGCAGAAGGATTGCTTACTGTCTACTCCTCCTTTCCTGCCAGCAACGATATAATGTTCACACAATGCAGACGTTCATTTGGTGAATTTGAACTAGCCTCGGGCGCAGTTGGTGCTGTAGGTAGTATTGCCATAACAGTGTAGCAGCAACAATATGCAGCTGTTGTCAAGCCACTCCTTAACTCTTTACAAACCAATCAATGTCAAATATTGGAAGATATGACCTACATAGATGATGACAACAGGACTCAAGTCTGTCATACAAATTTCTTTAGTGCGGTCGCATAAATGCAGTGTGAAACCAAAACTAACCGAATGTACCAAATTGTATGGTGCAGACTTTCAGGTATGAAAGGGCCCTGGGATGAAAAGTAACATTAAGTAATAAGAAATATGAGAACGTATTGAAAGCTTTTTATTTAAAGGGGCTATATGTAGTTTTTTAAATTAAATTAATCACTTTTATTTCTTTACTTGTGTGGGTGTTACGGCTTGGGCTGTATGGCTGCTTGGGAGGTGTGTTCTCTCTGTGCAGGGGGCGTGGTTGCTGGCTCGGCACCTGGCTCTCCTCCACACCTGCAGCAGATCAACTCATCACCGCTGTGCTCTTAAGCTCCAGCTTCCTGGAGGGCCGGTGCCAGATTGTTTTTCGCCATCCGTGGTAACAGTTGTCGGCCTACTCAGACGATTCTCGTTCCACTCGAGCCTTCGTGTTAAAGGTTGTTCCTAACTGTTTTTTGTCTCTTCTTTTGTTTCCAGACCTCTGCTGCCTCGTGCCCCCTCGCCTCGCCAGCCACACTCCTGGATCCACAAGCTCTCTAGCTTCCCTACCCTTGCCTAGTTATTGTTTTTGTTATCAAGAATAAACCCTTTTTTCACACCTTGACCGGGTCTGTGTTTGCACCTGAGTTCTACCACCACCCAACCTTAACAGTGGGGTTGCAACCTGGTCCAGCAGAATCCAAGGAGCAGCAGTCACACCACTCTGGACGGCTTCACGTCACAGACACAAACTAATGACCTTCACAGTTTTTATATTTACTTGGATGCTTTTCATTTTATTCGTGAAATTCAGGACCCAGGGGCGCACTGGCACAAAAAACTCACTATGGCCACTATGTTCTACTCGGATTAACGTTTTCCACATAATACATAATACAAACATTTGAGACAACAAGTAGCCTATCTGAACACTGTGTTTTCAAGGTAGGCTTAGATTATGGGTGCACCCTCAAAAACTTCCTAGAAATAGACCAATCATAACACACACAAATGTACAAGGCGAGACACAAAAGGCAATTAGCCTACACTTTTTAAAAAGAAAATGAGATATATTCATTACACGTGAAGTGAAATATTTCAGGCCTTTTTTGTTTCAATTTTGATGAGTACGGCATACAGCCCATGGAAATCAAAATTCACCTCCATGCCACGCTGCATTAATACAGTAATTTATGCAAAAGGAGCCTTGACCAAGTACTGAGTGCATAAATTAAGCATTTTCAGAATTTTTCTACTTTTCTTTATTATACATTCTTCATTCTTATATATTCTGCTGCTGATAATTTTCTTCACTAATCAATATTTGAAATTCTGAAAATAGTGACAAATGCTGTGACAATTACCCAGAGCCCAAAGTGACACTTCACAATGCTTGCTTTGTCAGGTACCATGCTCAAAATTATTACATACAAGTTAAATAAAAATAAAAAATGAGTGAGATGAAACTCTGAAGAAAATTCAGTTGTACCAACGGGATTCACTAGCGCACAGAAGCTGTTGCCATGGTTACTACCTATGGAGCACATGGTGTTTATTTGCAGAGCGCTCCTCTACTAGTCAGTTCACACGAGGAGCCTGCGGATCCATTTAGTTGCAGGCGTCGCTCCCTGTCTGTAAAAGGCCTAGACAGCCTAATGCGTGATTTCTACTGCTTGCTATATGATTTTTAAAATATTGCTGCAGCTGATCAAGTTGTCAATTAAGGGCAGGCCAAAACGGCCCTTCAGGACGTGAGTCACAAACTTGAAGATTATCAGCACTTCGACACAGACCAATAGGATGCTGGAAAGGCTGTGGTTTGAATTCAGGAATAACCTGCTGGGCTGGATTCTTGACTTCTGAACTAACAGGACACACACACAGTGAGAGGAAATGAATTCAGTCTGACCAAGTTTGCTCCCCTACTGGCTCCCCTCAAGGATTGTAAGTAAGTAAGTAAAGCTTATTTATAAAGCGCTTTTCTCAGATAAAATCACAATGTGCTGTACAAAAGATTAAATTTAAAAAAAACAGTATAAAATGTATATAAAAATAAAATAAAAAATTTAATTAAAACGACACTAGTGAAGACCCATCAACCAAAAGCCTTCTTGAATAGACATGTTTTCAGATCCTTTTTAAAAGAGACAACAGTGTCTGCCAGACGCATGGACAGGGGCAGAGCGTTCCACGGTCTGGGAGCAACAGACTGAAATGACATGTCCCTTCGGTCTTAGGGACTGTAAGCTGGTTCTGGCCAGAGGACCGAAGAGTGCGGTCAGGGGAATACGGTTTCAAAAGGTCCAGGATGTAATGTGGGGCCTGACCATTTAAGGCTCTGTAAGTCAGCACTAAAATCTTAAAATCAATCCTGAATTTTACAGGGAGCCAATGGAGGTCCATTATCTTTGATCAGGACATGTCGTTTAAGTCCCACATTAAGCAAATTTCAAGGACCGCCTTTTTTCACCTACGTAATATTGCGAAAATCAGGAACATCCTGTCTAAAAATGATGCAGAAAAACTAGTCCATGCATTTGTTACTTCTAGGCTGGATTACTGCAATTCCTTATTATCAGGCTGCTCGAAAAAGTCCATTAAGACTCTTCAGCTGATCCAGAATGCTGCAGCACGTGTTCTGACAGGAACCAGGAAAAGAGATACATTTTCTGTTTTAGCTTCTTGCATTGGCTTCCAGTAAAATCCAGAATAGAATTTAAAATCATTCTTCTTACCTACAAAGCTCTTAATGGTCAGGCACCATCTTATCTTAAAGAGCTCATAGTACCTTACTACCCCACCAGAGCACTGCGCTCCCAGAATGCAGGGTTACTTGTGGTTCCTAGAGTCTCCAAAAGTAGACTAGGAGCCAGAGCGTTCAGCTATCAAGCTCCTCTCCTGTGGAACCAGGTTCCAGTTTGGGTTCAGGAGGCAGACACCATCTCCACATTTAAGAGTAGGCTTAAGACTTTCCTCTTTGATAAAGCTTATAGTTAGGGCTGGCTCAGGTAGTCCTGAACCATCCCTTAGTTATGCTGCTATAGGCCTAGACTGCCGGGGGATTTCCCATGATGCACTGAGCTCCTCTCTCCTCTATTTCTCTCCCTCTGTATGCAACCTTATCCCATTATTGCATGTTACTAACACAACTTCTCCCCTTTCCGGTAGTCTTGTGCTTTCTCGTCCTCTCCTCTCTCCTCCTATCACTTCCTGCAGGTTTTCTGGCTCTGGAGCTGTGGAGTCTGGATCTGTGGTTGCGGGTCACCTGCTGCCCCCGTGTTCCTGCTCGACACCCTCTGCTGCAACGACTATTGTTACTAGTCCTATTGTTATTATTGTTATTATAATCATTAACATTACGATGTGTTACATTAACACTATTATAAATATCTGTACCATTTTTCATTTAGTTATAGCAACATCACCTTCTGTCTGTACCTCTGTGTGTATATTGTGTAGGCTGCCTCCCTCCCCTCTCTCTCTCCTTACATCCCTCTCTCTCTCTCTCTCTCTCTCTCTCTCTCTCTCTTTCTCTCTCTCTCTCTCTCTTTCTCTCTCTCCTTCACCCCAACCGGTGGGCAGATGGCCGCCCACCCTGAGTCATGGTTCTGCTCGAGGTTTCTGCCTCTTAAAGGAAGTTTTTCCTTGCCTCTGTCTCCTAGTGCTGCTCTTGGTGGGAACTGTTGGGCTTCTGTAAATATCATCATAGAGTACGGTCTAGACCTGCTCTTTTATGAAAAGCGCTGTGAGATAACTGTTGTTGTGATTTGGCGCTATATATTATTATTATAAATTATATATTTATAACAACTACTTTTCATTGTCTAATATGATTATCGTGTTTCAATTCAAAGTGTCATACTGCAGTAAAATATATGACTTTAGTTGGTTTACAAAAAATTACATGAAATAACAGGATTGTTGCACTTTTACACTTTTGTTTGATACAACCAGATAACTTTAAATGACCAACAAGGTAACCATAGCAACAGCTCTCAGTTAAGGAGATATGAGTTTAAAACTCCCTAAAGCTGCTTTGTGAAACCCAAGTAACTACAAACCAACATGTCCTCAACCTTCAGCTATTTCACCTTTTTAAGCTGCCATCAAACAACGACTCATCACAACCCGTTAACCTATCACGCGACATCACGCGCCTCTCCTGTTTCCTGTTTAGTTTTACTTTCTGTGAAGTTGTTGCGAAGATATTTTTCTACACCTGAACCTCCAGCTGAAGGTAATGTAACATGTTTGAAAAACAGAAATCTGCCGCTCGATGCTTCATTTCTTCAAACACTCTGAGTTTCTTTGTGAACTCGGGACAACTTTACAAATGTCCGCCATGCTGTGGATACTTGGGAGTAAACAGTGGAGTTACGGCAGAAGTTAGTTTATGCTCAGGAGTCGTTATTTACTGTGTAGCTCCACTTTCTGATGAGTGAAGGCAGCTTTTCCTGCCTGAAGCAGCCTGTGGAGGAGGCGGAGACGAGCCGCTGCTCTCCGCTGTCTGAGACTCTAACACCGGACAGCCGCTGGAGAACAGCTGCTAGTGTCTGTGAATGCTGTCAGGAGATTTACCTGCAGGACAGATCAGATCAGACTCAGTCTGCAGGCAGAGGGGGGCTCCCAGCTTTCTGAAAGCTCAGTAGCTTCTTCACAAAGACCATGAACTTATATCAGTTTGAACTTAAATCTGATCAATAATCAAATCAAAGAGATTTCCGTTCAATCTATCTTTATTATCTTCAGGAAGCACTTCATTGAGACAGTCAATCTTATATTTTGTTAGGAGCTATCTGCTTGTAATTCAGTAGTGGAAAGTAAATAATCCAGTACTGTAGGCTACCTAAGTGCAACCTTGAAGTAGCCTATTTTTAGTTTCCATGAGTAGCTTATTTCTGCTCCTTTCTACATCACAGAGATAGCCTACATGACTTTTTACTTCACAACATTTTGTTACTATTCAGATTAAGATTTAAAATACAAATCAAATGATCAGTTTCTAAATTAAGATCCAATATTAAACATTAAACTAACCCAAAATATGAAAACCAGTTCTGGTTCCACCTCCACCAGCTTACACCACCACAAAAAAAGTAGGCTACTTGTCACCCCCCAGTTCTTGCCTGACTGCATTGTGCCAAGTGTAAAGTTTGGTGGAGGGGGGATTACGTTTGGGGATGTTTTTCAGGGCTTGGCCCCTTAGTAGTGAAAGGAACTGTTAATGCTTCAGCATACCAAGACATTTTTGGACAATTTCATGCTCCCAACTTTGTGGTAACAGTTTGGGGACGGCCCCTTCCTGCTCCAACACGACTGAGCACCAGTGCACAAAGGGAGGTCCATAAAGACATGGATGAGCGAGTTTGGTGTGAAGAACTTGACTGGCCTGCACGAGTCCTGACCTCAACCCAATAGAACAGCTTTGGGATGCGACACAGGCCTTCTAGTCCAACATCTGTGCCTGACCACACAAATGTGCTTCTAGAAGAATGGACAAAAATTCCCATGAACAAACTCCTAAACCTGGTGGACAGCCTTCCCAGAAGAGTTGTAGAGTTGTTGCTGTTGTAGCTGCAAAGGGTGGGCCAACTCCATATTAGTACACTTAGCCAACAACCTGAC